AAGAAAAGAAAAAAAAAAAAAAGCTATGGAGTTCATTAGGTAGTGTGCTCTTTTAAATCTAGAGGTATGTGAGTCAGGAAATTTGCCTCTGCCCTTGATAAATTATGAAGGTTCACCAAGACCTGGACTCAAATGGTAAAGGTTACAAATCTTTTCTGACTCCTGTTTTAACCAACATGTGCTGCCATAATTGACTCAAATGTTTATTTAAAAGTCACTGGGTGGGGTAAGTGCTGGCATAGTGAATCACACTCAGTATATATACATTCAATAAACATGGGAAACTTGCTTGAACTGAGTGTTTTTCTTATATGGAAGCACGCACCTCTCAGGGCGTGTGGGGCCTGAGCTCTGCCACCTGCAGTCTGTGTGTCCTTGGCAAAGGAGCTAAAACCCTGAGGCCCAGCTCCCTCAGCCCTAAAATGGAAATAATTTTATCTTAGGCAAAGGTAACTGAATGTATCAAAAAAGAGATGATAGGGGCTTCTGGGTGGCTCAGTCGGTTAAGCGTCTGACTTCAGGCCCAGGTCATGATCTCACAGTTTGTGGGTTCGAGCCCTGCATTGGGTTCTGTGCTGACTGCTCAGAGCCTGGAGCCTGCTCCAGATTCTGTGTCTCCTCTCTCTGCCCCTCTGCCCGTTGCACTCTGTCTCTCTCTGTCTCTCTCTCTCTCTCTCAAACATTAAAAAAATTAAAAAGATGACAGATGTCAAAATTCCATAAATTTTCAATATTCCTGTAAATATGAGGGATAAAACATTGTGTGAGTGGGGTCTTGGTAAAACTTTAGTAAAAGAGCTTGGAAATATCTGCACTAGTCAGTTTAGAACAGATATGATATTTGCAGAACATCCCTTTGTACAAGCATTACTGTTAGTGATCTGATAACGTACATCTCTTATTCCAGTGATATCTAGATCCTCATGACCACTGAATGTCATCTGTTCAGGTCTGCATGTTGTGTTGGTTCTGTAGGGTTTTGTTTGTTTTGTTTGTTTTTAAGATTTGATTTTTAAGTAATCTCTACACCCAATGTGGGGCTGAAACTTCCAGCCCTAAGATCAGAGTCACATGCTTTACCAATTGAGCGAGCCAGGTGCCCCAATTCTGTGCGTCTGTATAGTGAATCCCCTGGTTCCCATTCCCATTCACTGAATCCATGCCTTTTGTTTTAAAGTCTTCCATTTCTTGCCATGCATACTTCATTCCGTTATTTCTGACAATGCCAGGCCACAAAAAGCAACAGAAACAGCTATGTCTGGAGGTGACTGTGAGGTGGGAGAAACCATAGCTTCCCAAGTCTTGCTCCCTAAGTTCTGAGATTGGCTCTTTTTTCAGTTACCTGAGCAAGTTTTACCTCTGCGGTTATGAGGAAGGGAGAATCCCTATCTTTTATTTTTTTCTCTTGAGAACTTACAGCCCTGTTGTCCTTGGAATCAAATAAATAAAGGCTTCTATTTAGTGAAGTCTATTATTTTGTGAACAGTCAATGAGGTGTACATACAGAGGAACTAATGCTTTGGGGCTTGATTTTGTTTTCCTATCATTGTTGAGGCAACCGGTGGATCGTATATATCACATATAGGCACAGTGGGCATCAAAAGATCTCAGTTCAAATCCCCTTTTTGTCACTTATGAGCTGTGCAACACTGAATGGGTCTCCTGTTGTCTTCAAATTTCCCTTTCTCCATTTGTAAAATTAAAATTCCTTTTTCCAGTATTTGGGGGAGCAAGAGTTTGATGGTAAATATGGTATTTATGGTAATATGGTAAATGTAAAAAAACAAAAACCCTTTGGATTGCAAGTAACTTGTTCTGTGAGTGTTCTACAAGATGCACAAACATTTTTAATAAATTTTAACTTGATAAATGAGTGATGTCTTGCAATACAAGTAGTGACACTGAATGTCACATGATCACAACTGAGAAAATGGTTCTCTCTCCCTCTCTCTCTCTCTCTCTCTCTCT